GTGGCAGGTCAAATGACACTCCTTGGTTGCGTGTACTTGTGGACGGGAGCAAAGGCCAGAGAGGAAAACCAGGCAATGGTAGAGTGTATATCAAAGGACATTCAGGAGTTAGGAAGAGAGTGCGAGATAATTATACTAGGAGACATGAATGCGCACATAGAAGATATAGATGGGTATACCGACCCGACAGGCAAAATGATCGTGGATATGTGTGAAAGGCTTGATTTGATCATTTGCAACAGTACCGAGAAGTGTGAAGGGCAAATAACATGGGAGGTAGGAAGGCTTCAGTCGACGATAGATTATGCACTGATGTCACATAGGATGTAGGATAAGCTCAGGGGAATGCACATAGATGAAGGTGGCTCCAGAAGTCTGGGTAGTGATCACAAACGTATCAAGCTAAGTTTTCGAAGATCAGTGAAAGTAGGGAGGAGACAAGATGAGCAACTACAGGGAAATTTTTATCCAGAAAGGCAAATTGAAATAGCCACCAAACAAATTGAGAAAGTAATCACGGAGGATAACAAGACAGTGTGGACATACACGAATCTAATTAGACTCTTTGAGCTAGAGCTTGTTAAGACGTGTGACAAATCACCCCGGAAAAGAAGACACAAACCCAAAAGTTGGTGGGATCAGGAAGTTAAGAGAGCCATAGCAAAACGTCAGGAAGCCTCTAGAGAACACAGACATGCTAAGCAGCGGGGTGAACCGACAGATGATGTTGAAAGAAAATGGGCAACCTTTCTAAGCTTTAGAAGGGATGCATCCCTTCTGATCAATGAAAAGATTAGAAGGAAGGGAGCTCAGTGGCTGGCAGAAGTACATAAAAAAGATAAAAAGGCAGCTGCGAAATTTTGGAACCATCTAAACTCCCTAAGAAATGAGACGAGCCTAGAGCAGAGTTTTATAACTACAGCCCAAGGTGCTAGGCTAGAAGGGGACGAAGCTATTGAATATATAAGAACAAGGGTGACAGAAAAATTTCAACAAAGAAGTACTTTATGCACCACAATAGACAAGGACGAATCAAGTGGTGCAATGGCTCCATTTTCACAACAAGAGTGGGAAAGGGCTGAGAAAAGGGTTCCTGGTAGTACATCAACAGGCCCAGATGGCATTCCAATTATGCTGATAAAGACATTGGGTCCGAAGTCTAAACAGGCTTTAAGAGAGGCAGTGAGCAGAACAATAATAGATGGTGAAGTCCCTGACGGGTGGAAACTTAGCAGGATGAGCATGATCTAAAAAGGAAAGGGGGACAAAGATGACAAACAACAACCATCCTATAACAGTGACTTCAGTGGTCTACAGGCTGGCGATGCAGATTATAAAGGAAAGACTGCAGGCGTGGATAGAGGATGAGGGGGTGCTGGGGGAACTGCAGAATGGGTTTCAGAAACACAGGAGGTTGGAAGACAATCTGTTCTCACTGACGCAGTGCATCGAAATAGCAGGAAAGGAACACAGGCCCCTGTGGCTAGCATTTTTGGATATCAAGGGAGCGTACGATAGCGTGGTTCAAGAGGAATTGTGGGGAATACTGGACACACTAGGCGTGGAACATGTAGTCACTAATCTTTTAAAGGGTATGTATAAAGGTAACAAGGTAGTTATAAAGTGGGAAAAACAGGTATCCAAGCCTGCAGAGGTAAAACGGGGGATTAGGCAGGGGTGCCCCCTGTCACCCTTATTATTCATGATGTACCTACAATGATTAGAGGCAAAATTAGAGGGAAGTGGACTGGGCTTCAACCTCTCTTTAGTCAAACAAGGAAAACTTATTGACCAGGCACTACCAGCATTAATGTACGCAGATGATATAGTGCTAATGGCCAACAACAAGGAAGATTTGCAGAGATTGATGGACATCTGCGGTAATGAGGGAGATAGGTTAGATTTTAGATTCAGTAAGGAAAAATCAGCAGTCATGATTTTCAATGACAACGAAGGTAGTGAGCTTAGAATACAGGAGGTCACGCTAGAGATAACAGATAAATACAAATATCTGGGCGTATGGATAAGCAATGGGACCGAGTATCTGAGGGAACACGAAATATACGTGACGACTAAAGGTAACAGGAATGCAGCAGTCATGAAAAATAGGGCACTGTGGAATTACAATAGGTATGATGTTGTGAGAGGAATATGGAAAGGGGTCATGGTTCCTGGGCTGACGTTCGGCAATGCGGTCTTGTGCATGAGATCAGAAGTTCAAGCAAGATTAGAAATTAAGCAACGTGGAATAGGTAGGCTTGCTTTAGGAGCTCACGGGAATACACCAAATCAGGGAGTACAAGGTGATATGGGATGGACATCATTTGAGGGCAGGGAAGCTAGCAGCAAGATAAAATTTGAGAAACGATTGAGAGAAATGGGGGAAGAGCGTTGGGCTTGGAAGGTTTTCAGCTACTTGTACATGAAGAATGTCGATACAAAATGGAGGAAGCGAACCAGGTAGTTGACTGGTAAATACTTAGAAAACAGCAGGTGGCCAAACCAAAAAGAACTATCGGTTAAGAAGAAAGTGAAGGAAACGGAGACTGACATGTGGAGAATGGGCATGATTAAGAAGTCCGCACTAGAGATCTATCGAACTTTTAAGCAGGAAATTGCCAAGGAAAGGATATATGATAATACTCGGGGTAGTTCTCTACTGTTTGAGGCCAGGACGGGAGTACTGCGAACCAAGACATATCGGGCCAAATACGAAGGGGTAGACACAGTATGCAGTGCGTGTGGAGAGGAAGAAGAAACTGCCGAACACTTGATAATGTTCGGTAAAGGGCTTCACCCTATAGTTCAGGATGATGGCGCAGAGTTTTTCAAAGCACTGGGGTTTAGGGACCGGGAGGGCAAAATAAACTTTAAGCGGGTAGACTTAACCAGAAGGAGGTTATCTGATTGGTGGCTAAAATCAAGACACGAGTGAAAATTAAACTCTTCACTGCAAAGTACGAATCCTCAAACTTACTTTTTAAGGAAAAAAAATAAATATAGTTTTTGGTTCATTAGGTGTTACGGCTTGGTGGCGCGAGCCACCGCCCGATATAAAGGGTACAGCCATATCCATCCATCCATCCATCCATCCATCCATCCATCCATCCATCCACGTCACCCAAGGCGGCGATGCGCTGCGCAGAGACGGCAATCAACCACGCGCGTGGGCAATGTGCATTATTTAAAAATATATTTTTGTTCGTGCATGGCCTCAAATGGTGACCAAAAAATACGTTAATTAGCTTCTGGAGAACAGGATGCCTACGCGGGTGCACGACTGATCGGAAATATCGTCAGGTCAACAGGATGCCGAAAGTGAGAGCGCGACGGAACTGAAACATTTTATCGATGTGAAGTGGTAGAAGAGTGGAACGATGAACTCAGTTGTGAGCCATTGCTTGCAACACTTTCCACGGCGAACCATCATTTCCTCAAGCACTAATCTGTAAATGAAGCCCGTAAGGTGAAACTTAGAGACGAGAATGACGAGTGGTATCTGAATGAAAACTTTTATTTTCTGCGCACAGGTCATACAACACATCTCCGAGTGACTGACTGTCTGTTTACAACAATGCATTCTTAATAGTTCGTCGCGGGTCTATTTTTATCCCAAGAAAAAAGTTTTATATTTCACAAGCACCCCCCAGAACATTGGGCTGCAAGCCTAGGTGATGCGCCTGAGCTTCAGGTACCTCTTTTCACTTAAAAATGCTCGCTCCTTGTGGAGTACATTTGTGTAAAAACGAAAATGGGTGAGCAGAAAAAAACTTGTTTACTAAATTGGCGAGACTCAGACCATGTTGTGCGCAGCCCAGTGTGACATCTTAGTTTTTTTTGTTTTTTTTTCAAGCAGAGAACAAGCTCTTCCAAGCTGTCACTGTGAGGCTCGCTATAGCTAAAGCACTTTGATAAAGTGATTTCAAAGGCATCTACAAATGTGAAGATCTTCTCCGAAAGGCCTACCCACAGGCGTCTGCACGAGGGTGGGCAAAGGGGGCTGGCCACCTGGGAGAGGGACGCTAAATCTGTTCTAACATTGACTAGGCAGCGGGGCACTCTTTTAGTTATCTAGAAGAGGGGCCTCATACACTGATTTAATACTAAGGAGGCACCCTGCAATGAACCTTCGCAACCCCCCCCCCCCCCCCCCCCCCCTGAACGGAATGCACGCCCATGCGTGTACTACTTTCAATGCGGGCAATTTCGCTAATCACAGTCTGCTCGAAGTGCCGGGAGATGTACCCCTCGTCAAAGTACAGCTCGCACACAGCCGAGTTTTCTTGAAGCAGCTTGTCAGCACGCGGGATCGCTCTCCGCCACTGCGCTAACAGCGCTTCGTCTTTCGGAACGACGAACAACGCATGCTTCTTTTTAGCTGACTTGTAGCCTGTAGTGAACCCCGGTACGAAGCAATGACTTTGTTTTCGCGCCATGAGAGTGCATACAGAAGCATTTGTGTCAGAGTGCCACCGCAATTTAAAAAATGAGGACGAACGCGCCCGACGAAACTGTCGGAAACGTGCAAAGGACGTATAAACGATTGCGCGCGTCTCCATGCGGCTCCTCCTCGGACGCTTCAGTGAGCTCCGTAGGTGCCGCTTGCCGCTCATCACACTTTCCTATTCCAGCCACTGTAGCGCAGCTGCGCAGAAGACGCTGCCAAAATTTTTTTCGCGTTTTTTTCTTTTCCATATTGCGCATGCGCAGATACTACGGAGACCCAGATTTGATGTTTAACGTCAGTAACATTAAGGTCCCTAGATCTAGGTACCTTAAGTAACTTTAGTCTGCAGCGCTCCCTGCGCATTCTAAATACCATATATGCACTAATATTATTGCAAATAAAAATAACTGTATTTAACTACAAACAAAGTTTTGTACAATATTATATATGGCAACAAATTTTTTCTGGTCGTCGGCAACATTTAGGTTACAGTGTTTGTGACTTTTGGCTAGGCCGCATCGGCCAACCTGACAACACTGTCTTAGACAAGAGAAGCAGCAAGATGGCGATTTCTTAAGTATGTGGTGCGTCGCCAGCTGATGCGGACTTGCGAATTCGAAAACCAGAATCAGGACACAAGAACCCAAGTGAGAAATTCTCCAAATTAGTGAGCCTAGGCAAGCCGTTCCCAGTTGGAACCATGTCCCGTTAGTGCTCTTCCTTCGCTCGCCCGCGAGCGACTCCGAAGAAGCGACGATGGACAGCAAGGACTACGATCACACGAAAAACATGACGCTGATGTTCTTTCTAGACCGACTGATGGACAAGGGTCAGCCGCGCACCCTGCACGACCTGTCCTGTCAGTTTGGCACCAAGGGCTTCACCAAGGAGATGCGCCAGATCGCTGGCGGCAGCCAGTCGGGGCTGCGCAAGTTTCTGCAGCAGTACCCCTTTCTGTTCACCATCGATGGCGACCAGGTGTCGGTGACGAGCTTCGAGGGTGACAGCTCGGGCAACTCGCCGCAGCGTGACTACGTGCAAGAGGCCATCGACTACTTTCGGGCCAAGCTGGAGCAGTACGGAAACGCCGAGGTGCCCATTAAGTCGCTGCTCGGCCACCGGTCGCAGGCGACGCCCGAGATCAGGCACGTCTCCGGCCAGCACGGAAGGTACTACTTCCATTCATTTCATTCATACTACCCACCGCGGGTCAGCCGCCGGGTTTGTTTATGTCCCTGACACCTCTTCCGGAAAGTACGGTTGACCAGGAGAGAAGGTGCCCCTTCTCACCGTTCGCTCCGAAATGTGCCGCCGCATTCCACGGAGTCGTCTCATTTGGAACGTCGCTCCTCTTTTTGTTTGTTGTCTCGGTTTCCATGCTCACTTCACGAGCCATCGAAATGGAGCATTATTGAAGTCATCACCACGCTGGCCGTCCTGTCACCTGTAAGCCCGATCGAGTTAGTTCGCACATGCTGACGAAACACACGAAAAAAAAAAATTCTGAAAAAAAAAAAAGACGAGGCTTAACGCTGAAACTAGACGATCTGTCACCGGCTGCGCTAGCGCCGCTTCCATTCTGAAGCAGCGCTGGAGCATCACAGTAGTATGTGTTTCAAAGCTTAGCGAGCATACCTACGGTGTAAAGGAGTAAAAGCTAGTCCCTCTCGGGGTCCTGCTTGCGCCTTGTTGCTCGCACCGCAGCCGCATTCCACCATTCATCAACGGGTGTCTGTGCAAGCTGTTATGTGTTGAAAGTCAAAGTAAAGTAGTGGGATCCACGAGACAAAAATCGTTGACACTATGTTGTGCTTTGCACTATTTTTAGCCTCTCATTGAGGCCGTGTTTTGCGTGCTGACTATTCAACTATACTGTTTACTGAGCTAGTTCATTTGAGCATAATCTTAGGAGAAGTTAGGTACACAGACACAACTTGCAGCAACAGAACATGTTTGTTTCCTGCATCATTAAATCATGTGAAAAAGTGCAGTACATTGACGTTGATAATTAAGAGTGTTCACATGCAAAGCTTAGATTCAGCAGCTGAGCCATCTGTGTGACCCCTCTAGGAGGGGGATACAACTTGTTTATTTTGTGGGTATGGAGCTGTCCGCTCATCCACGGTGACCTTTTTCATAGAGTTTCCTAAATATTCACTAGAGGGAACACTGGCACTAGTGTCTATGGGAGCTGCAATGTACAGCATTTCAACGAGCATGGGAATGATGGGTAGTATGCGCATTTGCTTAATCTTCATACTTCTGGCTCCATATGTATTTGTGTGGCTTGGAGCTGCTCTGTCACGAAACAAACATCAGCAAATGTTCAGTGGTTGCGCTTCACCACCATATTCCTTTAGGCTTACCATTTCAAATGGGGTAATGAAGTTCAAAGGGGTTTATTGTTTTCATTGGAGCAAACCAAAACAAAGCAATAAACGAAGCCACAAGTGTAATTCGCCACCGGCAAGTACGAAGACTAGGCAAATCCGTGTACTGCCTATTATTCCCATGGTTGCTGAATGATTGAAACGCCAGAATCCCCTCTAGTTAGCTTTAGGAAGCTCTATGACCTTTTCTATGGATGCCTCCAACGCGGCTGTTGAAGTCATATTGCAGCAGAGGTTGAGCCCAAGGTGGCAACTGATTTCTTTCTTCTCTAGAACATTGAGCTCGGCCGATCGATGGTACAGCACAGGTGGTAGGGAGCCCCTGGCTATATATGCTGCTGTACGATATTTGTGGACCTATGTAGATAGGTGCGAATTGTTTGTATTAATGGGTCACATCCAGTCACCAATGTTAAAACATGTGACTAGGATGAGCTACGTGAGTATAAGAAACACACGTCACAAACAATGACTCATCTTTCATTCACTGCAAAGCTCATGAAGAAAACTCGCATAGTTGCTCGGGCAGGGCAATTACCTGCAAATTATGCAAGGCTAGATCTGCCGGCTACCTACAACATCCTAGTTTTAATCCTAATCACATAGTTCTTTGTGCAAGCGCTCTTGGCATTGTGCTCAAACGTTCTCTTTGACTGTGCTACACACCTATCATTTTTCTTTGCATTGCTTGCTGCATCTTCCTCAGTTTAAGTTGAACCCTTTTTATGAGCCCCCACATATCTGCTCCGTAGGCAAGTAAGATATAGCCATTACAACCCTTTCTGACCCCTCGTCCAGTGTACTGGACCTAAGAAGAAAAACAAGCAGAGCTACCATTCGGACCGAAATCACTTTCGCAGCTTCTATAGGAATGGAGCAATATGTTTTTGAATGCAGTTCCTTCTTGGGCCCCATTTTTATATGGGAGTGCCTCGGAGTAATCGTAACATCCATGCATAAATGCCCATGCACGATGTGGTCAAGTGTGCAAAATTATTTAATTCAAACAATTTAAATTGTGCAAGCTGTCTTATGTCTTCTTCAAACATTATTGTAAAAAGGTAACTTTTGTAATCTGAAGTTTGCTGGCAATGCAAGAATGTATGTCCACCCCACTGGAATGCAGTTGGCTCACATCGTGCTAGACATCGAGGGAAACAATATGCAGGGCCCCATGATAATTTTAAATGCATGCTGGAAACATGAAGCAGGAGGAGGCGTCGGATGAGGTTCACTTGCGAATGCTACTCGGAGCCCAGGTATTTTCCCCTTCATGGTGTTGGATGCTATGTGTGACAGCTAACAGTGATTTTTTTGCATGAACTGTTTTTGTGTACTATAAGACGACCAACCTTTTGAAATGAGCAATATCAACACTCTTTCAAGCAACGTAGCAAAATGTGTCTTTCCATGTATGCAACAAAGTAATCCCATTGTACTAGACATGGCTCTCCCATGAAAATTGTTACAGTCTCCTTTATTTTTTTTTGCATGCTTTTCAATTACCTCCCAGCTAGAAAAGAACATTTGAAAATTTTTGTTTTACCCTGGAAAGAATTGGTGTCAGAAGGATGCAAGTATTTTAGAAGGAATAGATGTGAACTACCATTCATAATTTGAGAATGCCTGCCAAATATACTCCAAGCCATCTTTATTCGTTTAGTTATTTCACTTTCGTGGTTCAGCTGTGCGGTTACTAACTGTCCTAAATCTTTACAACTCCCAGTGCCTTGCAGCATATTGCAAAGAGGTGTTCCACGGCCGCTGGATAAATGAAGCTGCGGCCTGTTACGTAGCCCTTAAAAGGCAAGCGCGTCTCAGCTGGTGTGTGCATGTGTGAATGTGCCGTGTGCTTGCACCCTAATTACTCTTTTGGAAATGCGCAACCAACTAGCCCAACAACAAGGTATGTTATAGTAACAGTGTCAAGAAAGCAACACGAGGCCCCTCGTGTTCCTGTGAATGTCGCAGGCATATTCCACAGCTGCTTCCTCTTTCACTGGTTGTTCGGGCACCCAACAACAACACAGTGCCACTCAGACGAATTCTTATGCGTAGCACTGCTGTTCTGAGTATGCGTAAAAGAAGCAGCTCCAACCAATCTCCTTTAACAGTTCTGAGAGCACTCACACTAAAGCATGCATTGCCTCACCCAATCAGCAGCCCCCACCGTTGTCTGCACCACCAGGTGGCATCTGGTTCGAGAGTAGTGGCGCAGCCTACTCTCGACGCCTCCTTGTCGCTACGAGGGAAAATTGTGTTCTATAACAGACAAAACTTATTTGGGAACGCCCACTTGCTGTTTGATGTTCAGCCACTTTAGCAAAGCATGTTTGCTGACGTTTGTGAGGGACAGGTTCATTTTATAACAGCGTTCATGCTGGCACTTTTATATACCACTTATTTCTTGCTCTCTGGCCAGAGAGCCAGTTAAAAGCATGTATTAGGATGGATGCGGTGGGTCAGAGCTTTATTAATGTTTGTCATCGCAGTTAGGGTGGCTATTACCATTACCAGCCAGCAATTGCTGCAATACAAGGGGCCGAGCGTACCATGCATCACTGCAATACGTCATTTAAGCAGCAGAATTAAAAATCTAGTTGATAATGAAATAGTTATACCTGGAACTATATTATGTGCTATGCAACGATACTGCCCGTGTACTGTTCATAGCTTTTGCAGTGCTGCAAGGTAGCGGTGAGATAAAGTATAATAACTGGGCAAGTTCTTTAGTTTGCTCTACAGATAGTTTAATGCTATTAAGTTGTTTGGCTGTTAAAGTAATTTGAGTTCCGCAATGTTCTTTCAAGATACTATCTATTAAGGACAAAGGTACACTATCTTAAGTGCTGCTTATTTTTACCACTTAGGTCGTGGCACACCTAGAGCACACATGACCTTAACTTTAAGACCTTCTCAAATTTTGTTTTGTACAACTACAGTATTTCTTCAAATGCATTCTGTAGTTCATTTTATGATCAGTTCACGACATTGGAAGAAAGATGGAGATTTGTGGTTGGCACTCCTTGGTGGTGGTTAGTCATTTGTGTTTCAGTCAGGCTGACCTCTGGGGCACAACATTCAGGGAGTGTTTTCTTACCACTCTTTGTGCTGGCGGTGACATCTGACCTGAAGTGCTTGTTTAATTTTGTTTGCTGGTACCTCAGAAGGAAAGTGCGCGTATTTGTTGCCTCTGCTTGTTGGGGGGGGGGGGGTTCTGTGTGTGATGGTACTACCACATCCAGCATTCAAGTAGATGTATCTTATGTCATATCTTGGGTGTGGCATGTATGTTTTAGCTTGTGCTTGTTGCACGAGGAGCGCATTATTCTGAATGGTAGAACGGTCCATTAGATTACTTTATTGCCTGCGTTGTGTTATTGGCTGCATCTTTTTGAATTTATTCCTGATTCTGTACTTGATATTCCCTCTTACGTATTCAAAGTCATTACGTATCCAAACCACTCTTACGTATCCAAAGTCATGGTTTAGTCTGTTCCAAGGGGAGCAGAATTTTCTGGTGGATTTCTGCATGGCCAAGGGATCAACACTTTTATGACCATGTTCAGTGTCTGCAAGCAAATCTGTAACTTTTCTTGATTTTCATGCGGGAGTCAGAGGTCTGTGTTTGTCTGCAATTATAAGTAGAACTCTTGTGAGGGCAAGCTTTGCATGTGGTCTGTTGTCCGCGGCCGCCACAGTGAAGTCGCCAGTATTGTATGGGCAGTGATTAGTGCTGCCGTGAACAATGAAATATGCTATGTGCCATGGTACAGCAGCAATAAAATCTGGAACGCCTTGTGGTGAAGTAACACTTTGAGGCTTAATGCATGTTACCCTTGTGGAAAATGATGGTGTACCGTTGCTGGTGGTCACAGATTAAAGCTATGTCTGCTAAGGGAAGTAGAAGACCCTCACTACCTTTTTTTCTTTCTAATGTCTGGAACTAATACCAAGAGACAGAATTTCAGGAAAATATGAAAGCGATTGAAGACACCCTGTGAGTGTCTCTATGTTGAAAGGTCCTTTGTCTTTTCCCCGTTCTTGCACAGTCATGAGTCACTTTTGCAGTCGTTTAAGCAGCAGTCCGTCTCTCAGAGTTTGCTGAAAATGACTCCTGAATTCAACAACACACGTCTGTTTAATACTGTGCACTGGAAAAACGGCGAGATTTTTGTGTCCAGAATGACAAACTGCTCTGTTCCTTGGGTACCATAATCGCTGTGTGATCACCACTTCTCTGCAAGAGAGCTGGAATATGCCAATGTTTTCGTTTTCAAATTCTGCCATGATCAGATGTCATGAACAGTACAGCCACACGGGATGAGACACAGTGGACTTAGCAGGTTGCAAAGAAGTGTACCACCAGTGTTGGAACTTCATGGCAAGGTCTATTCACGGGCAGTCTTGCTGAAGTGCATCGTATGTAACACATTGAGTGTGGAGTGAACGCAGCTATTTTGTGCAGGGAGTTCCGGGACTTCCTGGCCAAGCATTCGGATGTGTTTGTGGTGAAGGATGAGCACGTGGTGCTACGCAGCGTCCTCCAGAATGCGGCCCAAGGCGATGCAGTCATCAAGGTAACATGCTTGAACAGATGTGACCTAGGTGACCAGTGAAATGCTTATCCCACCATGGCAGTGGAATGTTATATATAGACTGTTGTGTATATTTTTTATTTTTCGAAGCATTTGGCAAGATGTGCACACAGTGTTTATGTACGAACGCGAACCACATCAGAAACACTTCTGTCTTGAACTTCTTACAGATGCATCCAAGTCTCATGTTGGCATATGTTACACAGCAGTCAATCCATTGTGTCAGCATTGTGCACTAACATGCAAGCACTTTCACAGCGGAGACCTATGCAATATTGGCTGCTGTTAAAGAATCGGAATAACCTAAGCTAGTTATACACTTGAACTTATTAATCATCATGAAAGCACTAAAGACTTGAAAAGAACAAAAGTTAAGTAATTGTATCGCTTTTGTAGATTGCATGGTATTGTCTAGGATATCGTGTTTCAGTTGAAGCATAACCATGGTCCTTCTATACTTTTACTGGATAGTAGTTAGTAAACAGAAGGTTATGACGGCCATGGCTCCTCGGTCATAAAGCTTCGGCGAAAGTTTGATATAGAGACAGGAGCAACCGCTAGGGATGCTCTCGCCCACGGTGGGGCATCGATGAGGTCGCAGTGCTGCAATTGTATGGCACGTGTGGGAGCTGCGAAAACATCATTAAATGTAGCCGTGAAGGCTTAATACGTGCTTGGAAGGATGCTAGCTTCAAGGAAATTCGGGAAAGCTCCAATACATTGAAATTTAACATCGAATGAGGCCTTGAAGCTGGAAATTCGACGGCATGCTGACAGCACTGCAAGATATGCTACCGCTATAAAAGCTTGCTTTTTTTTTTTCCTGAAGCATCTAGTGAACATTTGCGTACAATCCAGAGTTCTTCAACTACTCTGGTGGTTCTTAACACATTGCGAAAGTGCAGTGGTTGCAACTTTTTGCACATCCAACCTTCCAGGCTATTTATACATTTGGTGTTCCTATATACGAAGATATATATCTTAAAATTGCCTCACACTTATGAAACCAATGGCCATTTTGACTGAATTAGTGCTTTTAATTTAGAAAGTGATCAGGACCGAGCTATACTTCATACGACGTTTGCCTCGTTTTTGTGTTTTGTTTTGCGTTAATTCATCAATACGGTGCAATAGCGTGTTCGAAGTTCAGTTGGCCACGCAAATTTCTCGGTCTTTTACTCTGCGGTGTAACTTACTCATTTTGTGTGTTCCCTGTCTTCTATTGTTTTTACCGTAAAAGTGAAAGCCTTACATGCCTTCTCAAACGTGAAATTGACCGACTGCGTCCCGCGCCGGACGCGTTGACATGTGACACAAAAAGTTGACTTCTAAAGCTCATAAGGCATCGATGTCGAAAATTACCTTTTCACGCTTTTGCAGCTTGCAATAGTTTTTTACAGCATTGTAGTGTAGCCTCTCGTGCATTATTTCCCTAGAAAACGTGTAGTGGTAGTGCTGAAGTCTCTGTTGCATGCAACAGATATGTGCTTTGATTTTTCCAAAGCTGTGTGGAGCTGCATGTAGCTCCGCCTGTTTGGCATATCACCTCTACACTTTTGGTAATCTTAGTGCCTGTATAAACGAAAATGGTGTTTCATTCGTCGGGGTTCTGTATTACCTACTGGCATGAAGCGAGAAAGAGGCGGCCGGTATGCTCACCTTAATTGAATGCGTCATTATCCATTGCAGCTACGCCAAAATGGTTCATGCACAGTGCCTATGCAGCCACAGTATCCTGCTCACTGACGATTCCCGCCGACGCTTGGTAGGCAGGAGAGCTCTGCGTCTTTTTGCACTAAACAGATAGGCCGTGAGCCCGTGGAAAATCTTCGGCACAGCGTCGGCAAGCGTTTCAGAGCGTCGTGTGGTGACTTTACAACAATGCCTCCGATTAGCCTCCAGACCACGTGAACGATGTCACTCTCATCGAAGTGCTTTTCGCACACGTGCAAATTCAGGGAAACAAATGTGATACCATTAGTTTCTTTGTGCAGCATTGCGTGTTTCCACTTTTCCCGCCAATCACTGTAGCCAGCGAGAACTCCGAGACTTCTTCGTCACTTTTTTATTATCGGATCGACAGGCAGGTACCAAGCAGTTATACGGTATCTTTCCCGATTTTCAGGCTCAGCACACTTGGTACAATAGCAATCATACTGTGAAAAACTACGCGATGGCACACCAAGATATTATGCATTGACCCTAAAGCGGCAACAGCAGCCAGCTTTCCTCCTGTCTGCTCGATGCCCTGCGCGGTGATGCAGCGTCAGCCTGCGACCTACGCTAGCAGTGCACAAAGCTTTCCCATAGAGTTATGGCGAAGCTTCACAACCAGTAAAAGTATTAAAAGACTCTGGCATAACGTCCTACATGGAAAGGTTACCCCAGCATTGTATGCGGTAGCATGTCTCTTTGGGGGACGAGACATGTTTCATGACCTTCCCAATGCAGGACGTCAGGGATATCAGTTGAAGATTGTCTGTGTGTACTCATTTGCCTGGCTTGGCTATACCGTAATACTCGAATCTAGGCCGATCCTAATTCCAAGCCGGCCCTCTAAAGTTCAAAGCCTGGAAAAAAGTTATCTTGAGAGTAAGCTGAACGACACATCGAAGACAGCATTCCTAAATAGAAAACGTTTATTGAACATGAAGGTCAAACAAAGCAGTTGGTTCATGATGCAAATACCTCAAGAAACATACAGCTGCTAGTCCTGTTGTGTGTGTTTCTTAGTCGTAGTTTTTTTTGCACTGCTTCTAGTTAATTGCATCATAAAGGTGCAGAGCTTTCCAATGCCGTGCTCGTTTTGAGTCGTCGCTGTCTTCAAACAGTGCCCAATCCTCGGTTTCATCAAGTGCAGTGGATATGCCGCACTTCATGAAGCAGTGCACAATCAAAGTTCCTGGGATGTCATCCCACACTGCAGCCCCTTCAGCGGCGCACACATGATCAAAGGTTTTCAAGGACTCTCAAGGCTAAATGTGTAGATTTTCAAGGACCACATTGTCTGTTAGAAACCCAATAGACACATCTTCGGGGAGGATGGAGGCTTGAAATAAGTAGAATCAACAAAAAAGGGTATCATTGCTGAAGCAAACATCAAAAATGTGGCTTCGATAGGATTTTCTTTCTAAAACTTTCAATCATAGTTTTGTAGAGTTGCATAGGTAATTGCTTTCAGTATGACAAAAGATACAAACATTTATTCAAATCGGCGAAGGTAAGGATCAGTTAATATACCACTCCTTGCTGCTTCTCCTGAATATCCATATCACTGTTAGCTATCTCCTGCTGTTTGGTGTTGGCAGTCTTCTTAAGGCTGTTTGACTTATAATGCACGTCAGGTCACGAGCTACCTCTGCTTTTCCTGCATATCAGTTAGCTGTAGCAGCTCATTCCTTAACAGTGACTTCCCGTTTCTTTTTCTTTTTTTAAGCGTTTCGACCTCCCCAATGCAACATTTCTCATCCTCCCGCTCCTTTCCTTTGCGAGTTCTCAAAAATGCACAGTGCTGTTTGCCACGGTAGAGCAGTCATTACGATGCTCGGCTGCATATCCAATGGCCATGGGTTCGTTCCCGGCTGTGGCAGTAGCATATCAAAGAAGCTGAAAGGGTGAAGGAGTGTGCGATGTCAGTGCATGTTAAAGAACACCAGACTGAATTGAATTGTATTAAGTTTATTGCATAAAAACGTTGCGAGGAGACCAGGTGAAAACGCTGCACTGAGCAGCTTGAGGTGAACTTGACCACCTCACACACAAGCAGTTCCAGCAGTTGAAAGCATGCCATGTATATATAATACATGAACAGAACAGTAAAAACAGTAAACAAACGTGGTAAAAAATAATGAACAATGATGTTGTGTAAACATATGAAAAACCAAGAGAAAAAAAAAGTACATGTAGTAATGAAGACAGCAAAAAACAAGAAAAAACAACAGATGAACCTATGGCAGCCCAAGAAATCATACAAATATGTCGCGTAGGCGTATTAGCGACACAGTAGATACATTAAGACCATTTTTTTGTGTAACCGATTTAAAATATTCGGTAAACAAAACTGGAACATTTGGTCACCGTATACAGTTGTGTTTCTGTTGACAATCCAAGGTTCTGCATTCAACTTTATCAGTTGGCTGTGTTTTGGGCCCTTTCTCCACCTTTCTCACGCAACAGAGGCATGCGATGAAATTTTTATTCACGTATTTAGACAATATCGGTCAGCTAGACAAACTGTAGTGGCACCTTGAAAACTCATAATAAGTCAGCACACGTTTCCACCCAAAAAAGGAAAAAAAAAATGTCTGCATATTTACTTTTTTCTTTCTGTTTCAATGTTTTAACATTTCTTTCTCTATCTCTTCATGTCTTTCAGTCCCCTTCCCCACACAGAGTAGCAAATCAGCGATATACACACGCCAGCTAAATTATCTGCCTTTCAATAAAGAGCTCTCTCTTTCTTACATAAAAATAATTGTGTTACTGTAAGGATGCCAATTGTATTAAACAGTTATATATTTAATTTTTCTAAGTTTATACATGCAACAAAGCCTATATGTGTACAAAGATTCAATTTTAATGGTACTAAATTTTGTGAACAAAGGAGCAGTATGCCAAAAATATGGTACCCTGGAGACAAGGCATATGGCTCTTTTTTGTAGAACCACGAGTCTGTGAATATTTTTGGCTGTAGTTGTCCACCAAACCAGAATTTCATATTGAATCAAACAAAGAAGCATTGAATTGTATAATATCCTATTAATGGATGTAGGAAGACAACTGCAATGACGATACATAGCATCTATTGCTCTAGATAAATTACTAACGAAATGATTCATTTGGCAATTTCATGACACAGTTTCAGAGAAATATACGCGACGTGATTTGAAAGGCGGCGGCATTTCTATTTCAGTATTGTTTAATTTATTGGGGTCTAGTTGAAATGGTTTATTATGCAAAAGAAACATTACTGCCTTTGTTTT